GTGAGTGTGTGTGTGTCCCCAGGCCGCGCGGGGGCAGCATTACGCGGCGCGCCTGCGCAGAAAAACGAGGAAACAGCATCAGAGAAGAGTCATTTATGTATTTATGTATTATTGATTGATTCACTGTCAGATTTGTCAAAGCCTCCGCGTTTAGCGACGAGTAGACCGTGTGTTGTGTGTGTTCAGCTGCTGATGATGCTGGAGAGAGCGACTCACGGCTTCTGTACGCCTCTCCATCATCACTACTGTCCAAACCGAAACGTGTCTATAAACAGCTCTATTACTTTGAATTAAAATGGACTATCTAACGGTTACGTTTAAAGTGTGTACATATACATATATACACACACATTAAAAGTACACACACACTATATATGTTACATGGAGTTTCTGGACTATTTGAAATCTTTTTCGGGTTTGTTTGTCTCTATATAGTGTTTATATTGTATATATTGTGTTGATCTGATCAGTTCTGTATGTGGTCTGGGCTGTTGTTCCTGATGTTTGGCGTCACACTGCTGGACTGACCTACTGGCCTCAGAAGAGAGTGGATCTGTGATCTCATGTTCATGTGTTCATGGAGGCCAGACTGACCTCCCACACGCCTGTGTTTCAGATACTGGGCTCTGGCGGCACCCATCTACCTGCTGGTCACTTTAAGCACCGGTCTAGTGCTGCTGTTTGGGGTGAACCTGATGAACACGGCTTCTGTGGACAACATCACAGGTGAGCGGCACATAGGGATAAAACCACTAAAAATGACCACTCACTCGTGCTTTCACAAAACGGTCAGGTGATTTTAAACATCTTGCATTGCTAAATCAAATGATTTCTTGTTTAGATCACTACCCCAAGAGTCAGCGTGTGGACGAGGATCAGGACAGAGCCAGACTCCGAGACGTTCCCATCAGCTAAATAAACCGCTTCTTTTACCTGGATCCTGGCGCGCAGGGATGTGTTTGCTCAGGGTTTAGGTGATCAGATCCATCAGCCGCGTGACTGCCAGGTGACCCGTGACCCTCGGACAGACCTGAGGGCCTCGCATGACGAAAGCACTTTAATAAAGCCCAGTGCTCAGAACATGGAGCTTTAGCGTCTTCCTCAAACACCTAACTCCTGATGTGGTCTGGGGTCAGACCGTGACCTCTGTGACCTCAGACTCATCTCACTATCTGCCATCATCTCGTCTCCTCTCGCAGACACGGCCCTCGTGAGCAAACAGACGGGTGTCAGGTGGCCACTCACCTTTAACCTCTGACCCCGTGACCCCACCGCCGTCACACGGAGAAAAATACACTACTGTTTGCTACTTTTATTAAATCATTGACACTGTAATGATCTAATGAGTCATGGCAACATATTTTTCTGTTACTTTAACTTAAGTTAAACAATAAAAAAAAAAAAATGTAATTCTACAAAATTCAGTTTTTAAAGTCAGTTTCAAGGTTATTAATAAATTGAGGCTACAAATGCATATTGAGCATTCTTGTTTTTATTTGTGTTTAGATTTGAACAGAAATACATGAATTCCAGCAATAACACAAAGGGACAGTTCACATAAAACTAAAGTTGTCATTTACTCAAGTTGCTCCAAACTTGCACAAGTTTCTTTTTCATACATAAAAAGATATTTTGAAGAATACTGGTAGCCAAACAGCCATTGGTGACAGCCACAGCCAACCCATTAGGGCTGCAAAAAGGTGGAAAATTTCCAGTAAATTTCTGAAACTTTCTAGGATTTTTGGGAATATTCCAGGGATTTTTGGAAAGTTTCCGGACATTTTCCACCCCATAGTAAGGAAATACTATGGAAGTCAATGGCTGCCATCTACTGCTTGGTTCCCAACATTCTTCAAAATATAACAAGAAACTCATTTTTGGAGCATCTTAAGGGTAAGTAAATGACAATTTTCATTTTCGGTGAACTATCCCGTTAAAGACGGTCCCAGAGGTGGGCCGACGTGAAGGAACTTCCTCAGATCAAAGGTCTGTTTGTGTTTGATGGCGTGACCCGTGGCGCGGGATTTCTGCTCGTCTCAGGTGATAATCCTGTTCCTGTGGATCCACATCTCCATTCACACGGCTTGTTTCCTAAACAGTGTTCTGCTTCCTGACGGTCGCACGGTTCACTCTCAGCTCGCTAGTGAGTTCATGTTATAGACGTGCGGATCTGATGAGGTTAGTAAGTGTCTGTTTCATCCTCCTCCTCTTCCTCCTCAGAGCTGGAGTCTTCATCGTTGTAAAAGTGCAGTGTGGCCTGAACGGGGAAACTGGCCAAAACCGTCCGGCCCAGATGAGACAGATACTCCAGCGTCCTGGATCGATCCAGAAACAGCCTGCGGATGGATGCGACACACACACACACAAACACACACACACACACACACACACACACACACACTGACAGTCAATGCTAGTGACACCCAGCTAACAGGGAACATTTGTAGAACTTAAGCTAACGTTCTGGCAAGGTTCTCTCAAAGTTATTATGATCAAACATTTGTTCAAAGTTATCTGGTCTTTAATAATGTTAGCACAAAAACATTATTTATACATTGCTCATGGAACGTTTTATTCAGGGTTGCCAAGTCCACGGTTTTACAGCAGAGTCGGGCTACTCTTGGGTTGTTTTTGAGGTTAAAGTGATTTTGAGTGTGAGTTTTGATTAGCAATTGGGCTGGTTTTGGTTCAAAGACCTGGCAACCCTGGTTTTATTTCGGAAACATTTTATTTGCATGTTCATCTTAACGTTTTTTGAAATGTTACTACTTGTTTTAGAACGTTCAAATCTAACGTTCCCACAATGTTTGCAAGATGAAAAAATAACGTTCACATAAGAATAAAAACATTTGTAAAACATTTTTTTAAAAACTGGACGTTTTGAACATTCAGAAATAACGTTTTCACAACTTAATGGTGACTTAACGTTAGCAAAACGTTCCTAGAACATATTCTTGTTAGCTGGGTATTTATAAACATCCAATGAATGAATATTGAAGTGTGCTTGACTTGTGAATGAAGAGGAAGAGCAGCAGACCTCACAGGATGATGGAACACATCTTCAGAAGCCTGAACCCGCCTCAAACCTCCAGAAACCACCTGAAGAACACAAGAACACGGGCTAAAAGCTGAAATCAGCAGTTCAAACTTCTCCAAAAGATGTAATTTCTGCACACTCAGACTCTGAGATCAACATATCGATAAATACAGAGAGCAAAGTCATTCAAAAGAGTTACTTTATTTAATTGCGTCTCTCTTGTTGAAAGATCCCACGGTCTCCATATCACAGGACAGCTATCAGAACATAAAAGAGCGAGTCACTCACACTGAAGACGCTAAAAATGTGAAAACACAGAGGAATTGAGCATAAACTCTCACCCGAGCATCTGACCCGCGTCTGAACCCAGCGGCAGCATCTTTCACACTGAGCGCTCCCGCACGCGCTGAGAGATATTTAACCCAGCATTTTTTAGAGTGTACATCTTAAAGACGTCTGTCAGATGTTTGTACACAGCAGATGCTTCCCAGATCTTTAACAGACCTCTTGCAGACGTACCTGTGCTATCTGAGCAGTCAGAAAGTGGCATATTTGAGGCTTTTGACAGGAAATGAGGCGGCATTCTTTTCTTACTTCTTTCAGAACTGATGAACTGATGTCTTGCCGGCTGATATTCACAACAACAGCTCGACTGACTTCAGAAGAGTCCCGGCGACCCGTTTGAGGGGTTTAGTCTTTATCTCAGACACATTAGTTAAGCCAGGCTTATATTTAAAGCATGGACTCGAATCTCAGACTTATTTTGGACGCTCTGAGTCTTTTATAAATCACTGCACTAATCCCCGCTAGAGGGCAGAAGAGACCAGAGAATAAAGAACAGAAAGCTCAACAGGTGTGACTGCAACATTTATGAACTACTAAATTCTGAGTGAAATGCACTGCAGTGAGTACTAAGATCAGATTACAAGATGATTAGTAATATTTGACCTTCACTGATGACACATTTCTCATGGACAACAAACAGAATGAAAGTTTTGTCTCTGCAGGATGTTAAACGAAGTTTGGTTTGAAAAATACAGAGGATTTGACTAATGTGTTTTAATGCAGCTTGTGTGTGTGTGTGTGTGTGTGAGAGAGAGAGAGAGAGAGAGAGAGAGAGAGAGAGAGAGAGAGAGAGAGAGAGAGAGAGAGAGAGAGAGAGAGAGAGAGAGAGAGAGAGAGAGAGAGAGAGAGAGAGAGAGAGAGAGAGAGAGAGAGAGAGAGAGAGAGAGAGAGAGAGAGAGAGAGAGAGAGAGAGAGAGAGAGAGAGAGAGAGAGAGAGAGAGAGAGAGAGAGAGAGAGAGAGAGAGAGAGAGAGAGAGAGAGAGAGAGAGAGAGAGAGAGAGAGAGAGAGAGAGAGAGAGAGAGAGAGAGAGAGAGAGAGAGAGAGAGAGAGAGAGAGAGAGAGAGAGAGAGAGAGAGAGAGAGAGAGAGAGAGAGAGAGAGAGAGAGAGAGAGAGAGAGAGAGAGAGAGAGAGAGAGAGAGAGAGAGAGAGAGAGAGAGAGAGAGAGAGAGAGAGAGAGAGAGAGAGAGAGAGAGAGAGAGAGAGAGTGTGTGTGTGTGTGTGTGTGAGTGAGTGTGTGTGTTACAACATAAACATGGTATATGAGGACCGCACTTCCTTTGTCCCCTAAACCAAATGGCTTAAAAAAGCATGATGTTTTTTTTTTTGAAAATCTGAAAAATGCCTGTAGTTTTGTGTGAGTAGAGTTAGTGTAAGGGGATAGAAAACACTCTCCTGCTGCCGCTGTATTAAATAATAAGAAGAATATTTTGGAATGATTCCCACATGAGGACAGATCTCATCTGTGTCTCACAGCAGCCGCTGATTCAGTGCAATATTAAAACTCATTACTCACTGCTTCACAGTTATGAGAACAAATCCATGTTTAGGTGCCTTCATCAGTTTAACTATATGATAAATGAGTGAGACATGCTGAGGCTCCCAGCTAACAAAAACATATTCTTTCAACCTCTTCTTAACGTTCCCAGTAAGTTATGGAAATATTATGTTCTCTGAACAATTAAACTTTAAAAACGTTTTTTTTTCTTGGTTATATGAATGTTAAGGGAACGTTGCATTTGATCATTTTGCAAACATTAAGGAAACGTTAGATTTGAATGTTCTCTGAATACAACTAATAACACTTAAAACCATTAGATGAACGTCCAGCTAAATGTTTTCTGACATGAACAATGTAGCCTATAAATAAAGTTTTTGTGCTAACGTTTCGAGAACATTATTAAAGACCAGATAACAGATACTGGAAGAACGTTTGTTCTTCACTTTGAGAGCATATTCTGAGAAGGTTCCCTGGTTGACAGTGAACAAGCGCACTATAATTAATCATGTCAGTGTAATCAGTTAACCATCAGACTGATAATCGCTGTCTCACACGCTAAAGGTTACATTAGACACAATTCACACAGAAAGCAAAGAGCTGAAGAATCACTCACTCGATTCATTCTCACTGAACAATCAACACATACGCCTTTGTGTACTCATTCACACAGAGAGAAAAGACCCAAAGCGAATATTTAGATATGGTTTATTTATGAGCTTCTTGTGACACAGAGTAATTATCTAAATCAACAAGAAAATCAGAATGAATCGTATGCGTGCTAAATCTGAATAAACACTGTGTATAATGTACCATATTATGGCTAGTGAAATAAGCTTTAGAGAGGGATCCGAAGACATTAAAATGTTCATGTTCATATTCCTGATTCATATTTCTGGAAATGAAGGATCTGATGTGATGTTTGAATGGCTTCATATCAGCAGGGCGCTTTAAAGGGCACTTCATCAAACGTACGGAGCGCCGAATGTTCCAGTCTTTACTAGAGGACTTTCTCAGAAAGAGCTGGTGGTCTTCGCTCTCGTCACGCCGTTCATCCAGAGTTACAGAAGAAACAGCAGTCAGCGTTACAAGAGAACCCGTGGAAGCTTGTTTCTGACACAGAATAAACATATCACAGAGGTAATTGTCACTTAACTCACAATTATGAGAATTATGATGTAAAAACTCAGAATTGTGAGGAGGGGAAAAAAAGTCTCAATTTTGAGATATACTGTAAATGTACATTTATGAGTTACAAACTAACAATTTGGAGACAAAAAGTCAACATTTTGACAAAACCTCACAATTGTGAGAAAACAAGTCCACATTTTGAGATATTAACAAACAATTTGGAGAAAAAAAATCTGAATTGTGAGATATAAACTTGCAATTGCAAGAAAAAAAACTGAATTATGAGACACATATGTAAGCCTGCAGCACAAAAGCGGTCTTAAGTCGCTGGGGTATATTTGTAGCAATAGCCAACAATACATTGTATGGGTCAAAATTATAGATTTTTCTTTTATGCCAAAAATCATTAGTATATTAAGTAAAGATCATGTTCCTTGAAGATATTTAGTAAATGTCCTACCTCGATGAACGGTGAGGCGTTCGTTAGTGGCTCTTTGGTCTGGTGTGCGAGAGAACGCTGATGTGTCTGCTGCTTCTGTTCGACCAAACGAACAAAAACTAACACAGAAGAGAGACTGGCGCAAACGAACGCGCTCGCAGACGTCTGCAGCATCAGCTCCGCTTGAACTTCTTCATCCAGCTATGACTATGAGTTAAAGGAAGAGCAAAGGGAGAGAAAGATCATGGCTGATGACGGTACGGAAGGTTATTGGAGCACACATGCATGATTACACACACTCACACACACACACACACACACACACACACACGCTTGCACACACACACACACACTCACACACACACACTCGCACACACACACTCGCACACACACACACATACACACACACACACACACATCAGCCCCACAATCCCATGCAACACGAGTGCACCGCCGTCCTCCTTCAGCGTCTGCTAGTATGGCCTACAGTACTGCAAACTATGTACATCAGAGTCAGTCGACTACAGGACCGTCTGTACATGCGTGGATAAATATGTCTGTCGCTATTCCAGAAGGCAGAATATACGACTCCGTGCCGTATCAAACAACCTCAAACCCAACAGATATATACAAAAAATACAAATGCAAATGCCCTAGAATAGATCTATATATATATTCATATACATATATAGGTTTTAATCTTTGAATTACAAATCTGAAAATATCATTTCTTATCTTTAAGAAAAAAACTGGTTTCGGGAACCGTGCAGTCGCCCGCGCACATCCTTCGGGGCGAGAAACAGAGAAAAAGCGTGTGAGATGGGGTCCGTGTCCCGCCTCGGGGACGCTTTCCTGAGCTGACCTCTGACCTCAGCCAAACGTCCGGCGGCGCAGAGGCGAGGAGAGATGCGCGTGTGCTCCTACACTTTGGACTCGCTCTCTATGTTGGCGACGTCTCCGTTCCTCTCCGCCAGCTCCTCAGCCTCGCTGCTTCTCTTCTCCTGAGGGTCCGGCAGCCCCTGTGTGCTCAGTCTGCTGGACACTGACCAGGTGAGAGGCAGACGGCAGCGCGCCATCATCTCCGCCAGCTCTCGCGCGCTGCAGCTGGGAGTGTTGGTCTCGTAGATGTCGTGGAAGCTGTTGTAGTCGACCTCGTAGAAACCGTCCTCCAGCGTCAGGACGGGCGTGAAGCGGTAGCCCCACTTGATCTCGCTGGCCACATACGAGCTGCGCGCCTGACACGTCATTCCTGAGGAACACACACAACCACAACTGAGGTCAGGAAACCATGGTAGTATCTATCAGCTGCAGTTCTGACGTCTCCGTCTCAATATACTGAACAACACCACATACAGTACATTCACATCACATGTTACTCAGAGTAGAGTTACACTCACGGACACTGCACTTATTCACAATCACAAAACTACATTATTTGCATGTGCTTTAAAGTCTTGCCGGTTAAACATTTCATTCACATTGCTGTTCTGCCAGCGTCTGATTACTGGACTGAGTTATCTTTCACATCTGATTGTGCTAATGCTGTCAAAAACACACGAGGTTTACATATAAACACAGCTGGTTATGTCTAAAGTGAAAGTAAACCGTTGAGAGAGAAACAGAAGCGTGTCTGTGTATTAGACGCGTGCAGCTCTTAAAGTGACAGCAGTCTAATAGCACTAAACATGCTGCCGCTTGTCATTAAAGGGACAGCTCACCCTAAAATTAACATTCTGTTATTATTTACTTGGTCTCATGTTGTCCCAAACCTGTATTATTTCTTTCTTGCGCTGAACACAAAAGAAGATATTTTGAAGAATGTGGGGAACTAGACAGTAGCTGGGCTCCACTGACTTTGATAGAAAGGAATAAAACACTATGGAAGTGACCGGAGACCAGCAGCTGTTCGTACCCACATTCTTCAAAATAACTCTTATATTCAACAGCAGAAAGAAACTCATTCAGGTTTAAAACAGCTTGAGAGTGAGTCAATG